AGAAACCTGATAGGGCACAGAAGTAATCCAAGAGGTCAGAGCTCTGTTTGGTTTCTCTTTCAGTGAGACTTTCTGGCCCACGGCACGCCCCCCCCCCCCCCCCCCAAAAAAAAAACCCCAAAACCAAACTTTGTATGTGTTAAAGGAATAGTGAGTAAGTTCCCCCATTGGTCCCAAAATGTTTCAGAGATGCAAGGATGATCAGGAGCAATTCTGTGCAATTGTCTCGATCAATCACTAGAGGGCAAACTAATAGCACCAAAGTGTTATGTAAGATGTCATATTGCCTCTTGTTAAAGGGTTGATGAAACCTCCTGTAAGTCTGGAAACGCTGAGTGCAGAAGGAAATTTGTAGTTAATAAATCCCAAAAGGTCCATTGTGATCATCTAATCTGACCTCCTGCTTAACACAAGCCCTTGGACCTCCCTGAATGAATCTGTGCTTTGAATCCAATAGCTGTGTTTGAATTAGAGCATCTATCAGAAAAATACCAAACCTCAAATTTCATAATTCTCAGGAATGAAGAATCCATGACAACCCCCGGAAGTTCAAAGTGGGTTATTTACCCTCACTGTCAAAACTCTGCAGCTTATATCCAGGCTGAATTTGTCTAGCTTCCAACCACTGGGTCTTGCTATACATTTGTCTGCTAGGTTGAAGACCCCTCTATCAAATTTTTGTTCCCATGTAAGTGCTTACAGACATTAATGAAGTCACCCCTTAACCTTCTCTTCACTAAATTAATGAAATTCAGGTCCTGGAGTCTCACTATAAAGGCAGGCTTTCTAAACCTTTAATAATTCTTGTGCATCTTCTCTGAACACTCTCCAATTTATCAACATCCTTCTTGAAGCGCAAAGTCTGGAAACACCAAGTGTAGAAGGAAATTCAGAGGTAATAAATCCCAAAAGGATCATTTAGTCTGACCTCCTGCTTAACACAGGCCACTGGACCTCCTTGAATGAAGTGTTATGGACACATGCTAACAGAAGTTGACCTAAAAGGACAACGGACTAGAAAATAACAATAGGAAGAATAATAATTAGTAGTAGTAGTCGTATTGAGTTCCTTTTGAACCAAAAGTTAAAAATTGATGGGGAAGGGTTGCTTGCTTTCATTGTTTGTTTGTTTTTTTTGAACAAGACAAAAAAAGACCATTTGCAAGAAAAGGAAAAAGACAACTTGAAGAAGTGCTTTTACCTACATGCCCATTCACCTGTGGTGCAATTATTCTGTCAATTCAATCTGAATTTAGAAATAGTTTTGTCAAATTAATCCAGAACAGGTCATTCATCTCCCCAGTCCATAGACAACATTGTGTCGATTTCTTCTAGTCTCCGTTTGCACATCCAAGGTTTGCATTAGCCCTTTTGGCCGCAGGATCACACTGGAGGCTCATATTCAACTCTTCCCCCGTGTTCCCTCTCCCAACAAGTCCTTTCGGTCACCCCTTCCTGTTAAGTGTGGCCTACACTCTGTCTCCAGTCGTGTTGCATGGGATCATAAGTTTGGAAGGGACTTCAGTGGTAATTTAGTCCAACCCCCCACACATATATACATTATTCCTAAACCACCCCAGGCCAAAGGCTTATCCAATCTCTTCTTGAAAAGCTCTAATGCAGTGATTCTCAACAAGGCCTGTGGTGCCCTGAGAGTTTTTTCGAGGGTGTCACAGGTTGCCAAGCAATATTAGCACGTTTAGGTGTGCAAACATGATTTGCAAGATAAACCCAGAGTTTTCAATGAATTCATAATATTAAAAACATTCAGACCCACTGGGGTCTTTCTGAGTTTTTTTGCAACAGAAAATTCTTCTATTATTTTCTATAGGCAAAAAATGAGTGAAAACTAAGAGCTGGCATTTTTCAAAGGGTGCCTCCTGTCTGAAAACACTGAAAACCACTGCTCTAATAAAGGAGACTTGACAACCTCTCTGGGCAGGTTGTTCCACTGTATTACTGTTCTGACAGTAATCTGCTTTGCTGCAGTTTATGCCCCATTGCCTCATGTCCTGCTCTCTGTGGCAAACCTAAGTACCTCACATTTAGCCATACTGAAGTATATATCAATTTCCTACTCCCGGTTTACCAAGCAACCCAGATCACACTGACTCAAGTGACTCATTCTTTCCATTATTTACCACTTCTCCAATATCTGAGTCATCAAAAACATTTATTTGATGCAACTTCATGCTTTCTTGCAAGGCACTGATAAAAAAAATTAAATAGCACAGGGCTAGGGCTGTGCTAGAAAACTACCCTCTCAGGGATGATTCCCCATTAAAAATTCTACCAAAACCTATGAGTTAGCAAGTTCTAATCCACTTAATGTGTGCCATGTTGATCTCGTGGGTGAATCTGATATCTTTTATCAGATATCAGATTCACCCAAAGAACCTTGTCTGCCTATGTCCTCAAACCAACACAGCTACAACCTACGTCCATGTTGATGTTGTATCATTTTAGCTTCTTAATCAAAATGCTTGGGAGGCATCAAGTCAAGGGCTTTACACAAGTCTATTATAACATATTCTCTTTGTCAGTCAAATTGAAATCTTTTAACAAATGATGAAGTTAATTTCACAAAGTCTCTTTTTCATGAACCCAAATCAAATAGCATTAATTTTGTTACCTTCTTATGTCCTTTTCAAATCAAGTTATATATCCAGTCATTCAATTATTTTGCCCAGAAATGAAGTCAGGCTGACAGACCTATAATTATTCTGGTCATGCTAGGTTTTTTTTAAATATGGACATCACATTAGCTTATGAGCTGTCCTGTGTGGAAGTTTCCTAGTGTTCGAAGATTTATTGAAAAGCAGTATTAACAACAGAGAGCATTCCTGGGCCAGTTTCATGAAAGATGTCTGAACCAGCTGTTTTGGAGATGACTAACTTCAGTAAATGCTGTTGAACATCCTCTTGAATTATCACTGGAATGGCAAGAATTCCATGAGCATCTTGTGAATATGTTGCATGACTTTTGCACAGATACATGAAGGAAACTTATTGAACATTTGTGCCTCAATGCCAGTAGTTGTGAAGCTTCTTACCCCTCACCAGACTCAAGGCACCTCTCAGAAAATACCAACCTTTAGTTTGCCCTCTTTTTTTCCCACTACAGAAACATAATAGAGAAATTCTTCTGTTGCAAAAAAATCAAGACAGACCACCGCAGGTCAGAATGATTTTAACACTAGGAATTCCTATTTGAAATCTTTGGGTTTATCTTGTGAAACATTTGCACAGCCTAACAGTGGTAACATTATGTGGCACGCTTGACAGGGATCTTGAGGCATCCCAAGGCTACCACAGCATGCCTGTTGAGAGTCACTACTTTATGCATTACTATTAACAATTGTACCACTTCTCTCTCGCAACATTCCTTTGGTTCCTGGTATGCTTAAACACACTCATTGCACTTAATTCTGCCACTCATAGATTCCTTTCTCCTTCTGTCCTGTTACCTCCCTTATCAATGTCTCCAACTCTAAGTAATTTGGCCCACACTATAATTTGTTATTTCCCTCATTAGATCACTGGAAATGCACCTGTGTTGGGGGCTGTTCTTAAGAAATTTGCATGACACCTTCCAATTGAGGCTTTCAAAGCATTTTAGAAAATATTAATCAATTAAACCTCAAGCACTGGTGAGAGGTCGGTATAGTCATTTGCAGACAGGGCAACAAGATCAGAGATCACATCATTTGTCTAAAGAGTCCCAAGAAATATATGCAGAGCCAAGCTGAGAACCTAGAACTGCTGACCACAAGTTCTGTGCTTTAACTGGTAAAGCCAAAAAGCAAGGAGGCCAGGGGTACAGGTTTTTTTGGGAAGAGGCCTTGAAGATGTTGTACGTTGAAATACTAACATTTCACTTGAAGGAAACAGTTCTCAGTATGGATTAGAAATGGGTGACAGCCTCAGCCAAGTCCACAGTAAATGATTCTGTTCATGGGCATATCCAGCATTTTGTAAACGGGGTGCGGGAACAGCAACCTGCACTGCATGGGGTGGCTGTGCCCCCGTTCCTGCCCTCCCATACCCATCAGGGCAGGCAGACAACACCACAGGAATAGCAGCAGGGGACTTTTTCTCAAGTCTCTGAAGCAGGTAAAAATCTCTGCCCCCGCGCCCCTTCCCTCCATGCTCAATGGCATGTTTCCTTCCTTCTCCTTCACTCACCCTTCTCCTCCACCCACCGCTGCCACTGTCCCCATCCTACCTAGGGGCAGGGGTGGGTGGAGGCTCCAGAACTGCTCACATGGAGCCAAACTTAGCTAGAGAGAGCAGCTGCAGCAGCAGACAGGTTCCCTTCCCCGATGCCTGCTCCCAAGCTATCAGAGAACAACTGGGAAATCAAGCAGGGAGAAGGAACCCGCTTACTGCTGCTGTCCCTGGCTGAGCCCAGCTCCATACAGAGCCCAGCAGGTGCAGCAGGAACAGCTCTGGAGCTCCTCCCCACCTGTGTGCCAGGCAGAGATTGCAGCAGTGGGGGGCAAGGGAGGCGGGGAGGGAAGCAACATGCTGCTGAGCACAGAGGGGAAGGGAAAGGAATTCTTACTTGCTTCTGGGACTTAAATAAAGGTCCTGGTTGCTGCTCCCATGGCACAGTTGGCTGAAAAAAAAGGTGGGGGGGCAGAGGGGCACATTTGCATCACCGTATTCCCCCATGGATCTGCCTCAGCTGTGTTCTGTTTAGAAGCAGCAGCAGAAATGAAGGATCCTGGGAGCTTCACGGGCCTCACTGTATGAACAGAAGGAAACCCAGGGCTGAGGCATGTGAGCAGAGCTAAAGAGAATTTTACCTGCACTCTGCCAGGATTCTCAGTCTTTCTGGAGCTTACCCTTTTACCATGTTTTAAAGGCACCAATCCCAAGTTAAACCTTCAAGTTAAAACAGCAGCAGCTAATTTTATGTCCTGGTGGGATTGCATGTGAAAACCAACAGGATTTCTCAAGTGAATCAGTGCACATACTCACACACACACAGGGACCCATCAGGCTGGTGTTTCTCTCTTTTATTTAAAAACAGTGCTTCATTACCATTTGCAAAGGGTTAGGAAGGGCTCCTCCCTTGCTTAGAGTTTATAAAAGCCAGCAACATGATCAATAATTTATACACATGGATAGTAATACAAAAAAAAAAAGGAATAAAAGCTAAAGATCTAACTACTCCGACCTTCACAATTCCAGCTACTTGATAATAATAGGAGTAACCCAATGAATACTGTATGGTCTGAAAGCTACTATACAATATGATACTTAACAAGGGGGCGCGGGAAGTTAGAGACTGTCACAAAGCCCTGGGATGCAGATACTGCTTCTCCAGAGTCAGCAGGGAAATGGGACCCTGGGCAAGCGGCTTGGGCGTCCTAGGAAATGATCCAGGGGAGGGGAAAGCATCCAAAAATTTGATGCACCCTGTGCCCCGAGGGTACCTGGCAATGCGAGGTGCTGGGGAGACCGCATGAAGGGGCAAGCCAGTCATTGCCATTGGAGGTTCTGTGGCATGTTAGCCTTGCACTGAGAAGCTCCAAGTCTCAGGTAAATCAGCCTGTGAGGTCAGTAAACTCTCCACCAGCTCCAAAGCACTCTACAGCCCTGGTTCTCATTTGCTATCAGCCCCAGGTATTTGCTACAGCTATTTACAAGCAGAATTTATAATATAAAAAGAAAAAAAAATTAATCGTATCCCCTAGGGTAAAAGAGGATTATTTCGTCACTTGATAAGGCAGCCAAACCAAGCTGCCAAAACTACAACGCGCGCGCGCACACACACAAAATACTGTGAACAGAAAAATAGAAGGAAGTGACCAAAGTGGAGACTATTTCTGCGGGAGGCCAGATTTCTTTAAGGAGGCCGCTCCTCAGGGATGCAAACAAAACCCCCACTTGAAATGAAATTGTGAATCTGGTGAGAGACTTATTGACCAGTCTGAACATCAATCCTTAGATCACTGGCATTTTGCTGACTGCCAGCTAAATGAACGCTCATGTGGATGGCTTTATACATCAGCCATCTTGACTGATGTGCTTTTACTCTGCAACCAGTTGACTTGCAGTTGATCTGGCAGTACTGGGGCTGACCCTTGTCTGTCATTTTCCCACCTAAGCTACCACCAGCTGCAGCCAGTAACTGGAGTAGGACAGTTACTGCAGATGATTACACTATCTGAAAGTCCCCTTCCACTGTTGGCAGTGACAATCAATTCAGGAATTGAATGCCTTGGTTTGGTTGGCTTTGTACCCTCTGCATGTGTTGGGGAGGAAAAGGGGTCCTCTATTGCATACTCCAGGCTAGAGGAAATATTACCAGGGAGGACTCCTGGAGCCTACTTGAAAAGGGCCCCATTTCACACTCTGGCTATCAGATTCCTGCTTGCCTTGTTGACTGGAAATTTCATTGCAGAAGAAAAGTTTAGCGAGGGGTAGGGAAGGAATCAGGAGGGGGGGAGAGAGGGGCTTTTCAGACAGTAACATCACCAAAAAATAGTGTTTTATGCAACAAAGAATCAAGTGTCACTGGTGTATACTACAAAATGTTTGACATTTTCAAGAGCATGACAAAATAAAAACACATAGAAGTTTACATTGGATGTTTACCTTGTTCACAAGCTTTTTGTTTTTCTCCTCCTATTTTAAAACAGTGCAAACAGGTAACACGATCTGTAAAACATGCCCCCTCTGCGCCAAGGTACAAATTCCTCGGAGGCTTCCAGACTAGATCACAAGGAGCAAGCTAATTTCCAGCTGGCCTGTGTGCTTTCCCTTTGGAGCTGGACTCAGCAAAAGTAGAGCTCCCCAGAGTCAGTATGTTTTTCCCTTCTTGAATTCCTAAGTGTTCCCTATGCCTGTTCTCTACTTTGTCTCTTTCCTATGGTACAGGGGTTTGGAGTGTGGAGGAGTTAGAGAAGAGGGGAGATGCATGAGGATTTGCAAAGCCTTGTTTTATATTCTCTACCCTTAAGGTCCCTACCTTCTTGTGTTCAAACCACAATAGCCAGGGACTCCCTTAAAAATGATTCTTCCTAGAAAGGTGTGCCAGGCTAGGAAATGGTTTTATAAACCATTTTACAGCCTGGTACAGCCCTAGCTGCACAGATCTGAGAAAACATTAACATCACTGTTACCTAGCTCTCCCATACCATTTTTTATCCAAAGATCTCAAAGTACTGGACACCAAAGGACTGAGCATCTTTATCTCCACTCTGTGGATGAGGAACCTGGAGCACGGACGGAGTGAACCCATTTGTCCAAGGTCACACTGACGGAGCCAAGAATAGAACCTAGGTCTCCCAACTCCAGGCCTGTGGCCCATCCTCTTGGACCACTCTACTGCCTGCATGTCATCAGCGCTTTGAAGTGAGAATCATTTAAAACTGGGATTTGGCTCAAGACAGTTGAACTCAACTCTCATTTGCACATGGCAACACAACAGCTGTTCAACCTGGGAACAACTAACTGGTTACAGGAGGCTGGGGACTAGTCCTAGACCACCTCAAGAGCACAGCAAAACTCTAAGGGCTTGTGTACAAGCCAGAGCTATGCTGCTTCCATTCTGCTAAGTGCCCCTAGTGTATACACAATTTTACCAGCATAAAAGATGCTTTACCCCTTTGAAGTTCGTTCCCATACATGAAAGGGAATAACCAGCATAAATCACCTTTTCAGTATGTTACCACATGCATGCTAGAGGTGCACCATTATAACTACAGCATTAAGAAGAGATCAGGGCCCTAACCGAAAGAGTCTTATTGGTATAAAACCATGTGCAGACCAGGCTTACAAGAGCTAAGTCCTGTTTGAGATAAATCCTTGAATGTTGACCATCACAGCTCTGCTAATGATTTTCTCCTCAGTCAAAAAAGGGGCAGCCTCTGCTAGGTCCCTACTTTTTAGCTCCCTATTAAAAAATTTACTATAATTATATTTTGCACAGATGCATGTGAGGCTTCCCTCACCTTTTCAAAGATGGACATAGCAAGGCTTGGCTAACCTGAATGAAAGTCACTGTTTATATCATGAGGCACTTCATCAAACACCAAAGGAATCGGAGTCACTGTATTTGTCGAGATGGCAGGAAGATGAGGGGATCCCACTTGCCACAAAAGAGGATTCACAGGAGAACTCCTGCCACCAAAATCCAGCTGTGGCCACAATTTTCTAGGAGATCTTGCACTTTGGAAATTCCTGGGACTATATGAATGATAGTACATGTCTAAAATTAGCCAGCCCCCTCCTGTAACCAGCAGTACAAAAGGCTCGGCTTGTCCACCACTGTGTCATCAGGGAGGACAGGAATTGGGAACAACCAGGTGCTAAAACAGTGAGGCATCTCCAGCTGCAATTCCTGGACTCAAACTTGTCAGTTTGCTAAAGCATTTAAGGGGCATGACAAGGATTAATGGATCAGGGGGACCCATGCGCTGATGTATTAGGAACCCAGTATTGATGGGTCTCTGACCCTGGCAATACTAGGTACTTTTACATTAGGGGACCCAGCCTCCATGAAACACCAGAACACAGATTCTCAGCACAAGGTGGGCTAAAGCTGCCAAGGGCAGATTCTACACAAAGCAGAAACAACACCTAACCTCCCCTGCAGGTAGGGGGGTGAGGGTGCAACTAACTCCACGCTCCACTGCCATGATGCAGGAGGACACTTGAGAAAGCAGTTTGACCTTTCAGAAACTGCAGTCAGAACCAGCTGAACTTACATATGAAAGGTGCAGAGGCTCAAGTGGTTGTCGATTCAGTTATGCATGCTGTCTTTCCTCACCCTCTCCCACCCTGCAACCTCCAAACATTAGTAACTTCTCCTCCATGAGAATAATGGGAGAGATGTCCTTTCTTTCATTTCCCGCCCCCATCCAAACGTGGTTCAAACCAACTCAAGTTGCGGCTTTTGCTGCATCTCGGCTCCAGAGAGGAGCAACCCCTCTGCCTTGGGATGGCGATTAGCTTGCCTCAAACATAACACTAGAAGTTCTACTAGACATGGTTTTTCTTTTCCCACTCAACCATCAAAAGCCAAAAAACCCCACCATCCTCATGTCCTTGATTTTGTGAAAGCCCCAACATCCTGTTCCCCTCCAATTTTCAATCTAACTAAAATATTTATATACAAACAACAAAAATTGTCACAACAGCAACAAACCAAACTTTGGCTTGGAAAAAAATAAAACTGAAAAAAAAAATAAGTGGCCAATAGGCTGGCAGTTTGGTGTCCCCTTGTTCTAGCTATTCCTCCTTGGATTCAATAGCTGTAGGGTCTCTAGCTTAACTGATTGCTTTCCCATCCTTCTTATCTCAGGCACCTTCCCTCTGCCAGGCACAGGGAAGGGTGTGTGTGTGTGTGTGTGTGTGTGTGTGTGTGTGTGTGTGTGTGTGTGTGTGTGTGTGTGTGTGTGTGTGTGAGTAAAACAAGGACGGGAAAGAACAAAGTTGTGTGTTGTGCGTGGCTGGGCCAGTGCAGCTTCCAGGCAGCCCTGCTTGCTGAGAAAGCTTACGGTTAATGCAGTTGGCTTCCTATTCTGCTATCAGCCATTGAAGCAGCAGCAAGTGTGCGGTGGCAGGAGCTGAGAAGGCTGCAGCTACAAATCCATGCTCCAAGCTGCCTTTTGGGGAGAGCGTGGGGGGGTGGGGGGGGTGAAGGTCACCCCAGTACCAATTCAAACAGACAGGGGAGCCTAATGGACTTGTGCTTTTCTCTCTGTTTCTCTAATATCTTGGATTAGATAAAGCTTTGAGAGAACCTGCATTTGATTGCAACGGCTGCTTGGAACATCACACTAGCTAATGGCTGAAGGGGAGACTACTCCCCTTTGGTTTCTAAAATCAGGGTCAGATTCTGAGAGCAATGACTCATTGCCACAATGCTGCTCTTGCAGCAACCTGCACAATATATGCTTTTCAAAAATAGTAGAATTGCTCTACTCCCGAGAGCAGAGGAGAGGTGGCCTGGGAGTCACAGAGCCCTTCTAAACAGCCTCTCTGCTTTAGAGTTTTACAATCTGTAGTGTAAATTACAGGATCAAGCAGTTCAGGTGCACATTTTTCTTTGAAGAATACTGAGCGACTGCACAGAATGGCCCCAGGGACTATAGGCTGGATATGCGAGGACCTCAAATAGACCTAGGAAGTGGGAATTTCCTATGACTTCAGAGCTAGAAATAATTGCTTCTACCTGCCCTCAGACACCTAAGCCACACAATACGACTTTCAGGGATAGTGTTCTGACAAGACGGACCCTCTTCCGTCACCCAAACACACCCTCTGTGCCTCTGCAGCTGATCCATAACTCATTTTAACTCACTCACACTATTCAAAACAGTTTAGTTGCAGCAGTGCCTAGCTGGCTCAAGGTGAACAAGAAGAGGGACCTTGAATGCTGGACCTCAGAGCAGTTCAGCATGGCATTGAGACAGGTTTCTTCAGCAAGCTTTTGCCCTCCTCAGGACTGCACACACATCACCTCCATAATATTAAATGATTCTTGACATCTGAGAAAGAAACACTGTGCTGCTCCTGCCCAATATCTGCAGTGCACTTGCCACTCCCTCCAGGGAAGAAGGCAAGGAGAGGCAGTAAGACAGACCTTGGAAAGGAACAGGGAAAAAACTACAACAATTACAGCCCAGTAACAGGCAACAAATCAAGTAGGATTAGCTGTGTGTGTGGGGTGGGTGGGGGAGATTTCCTCAATAATTCATTTCAAAGTCTTGTCCCCTCTACAGCAGTCAATAACCAAAGTCATTGGGCAGGTTGAAGGAATTTTCTCTTGCCAACTCTAAAATTCTGACACTGCCAAAACTGTCCCAAGCCTGCACATGTCAGACGGTGATAAAATGAGGGAAATCTCTGCATTTCCCCTCTTTCCACATATAAATGGCTACTTCCCACCATCATATGGGGTCCCAGCCAGAGAAGCAGCGCTTCCTTCCAAAGACAGGTCAAGTCTTCCCCTTCCTGTTTCTCAGGCACCAAGAACCAGACCCAGGTAAAGTAACTGTCTGCACATTCCTGATTAATTGCATGATACTGGTTCCTAACAGCTTTCCTCATCACTAATCGCCTCTTCCGCGATTGGTAGGATAAGCTACGCACCAACATACAGACACAGAAATGCATTATTTTTACCACAGTTAAAAAAAAAACAAACAAAAAAACAAAAAAACAAAATACCCCAAAAACCTAAAGGAAAAAAAAAAACAAAAAAAAAGAAAAAAAAATAACGCACAATCTTTGGAACAAAAGAATTAAAGGCAGAAATTTAAAGGAAAAATACATATTCAAAGAACATAGTGAGGTATAAAAAAGTATTTTCTCTTTTGTTTTTTTTTTCTGTTTTTCCTCCTCATCTTGCTATAGAGTTCCTCTACTAGTAAATATTGCAATAGCCAGGCCTCATGAGCTGGGGGGCTGTCCCACTTGCAGGGGGTTCACGTCACTTCAGTAGGGGGCGAATCGGCTATAGCCGCCTCGGTATAAACTCGCCTGCAGAAGTCAAAAGAGAAAAGAAGAGGCAGTTTAGAGGTGCTTGGAGGCGAAACTTTTAAGGCAATGACAAAAGGCTCTCAGGACTGAAAAGTGTGTCCAGGCACTGATCTGGCACCTCTGGAGTCTCCACATAACAGAAAAGATGGGAGAGACCAAGACAGAAAAACCAAAACATGGACTCGGGTGGGTTATGTTCAAAGACAAGGAGCTGAAAAGTAGAGGTCAGCAAGTCTCCCTGTGCAAACATGGTGAGCTTTCTGTAAGCTGTCTCAGTCACCTTAGATGCCAAAACAACTCTTGTCTGATCCTGTTTAAGCTCTACACCTCCAAACCAAAGCCACAATGCAGCTCTCCCCTAGCATCTCATTCCTAGCCTGAAACACTCTAGGCTGTTCCTCTTCCAGGGGCTCCTCACATCAGTCTTGACCTAGACACTCCTGGTGCCCCATGAATCTTCTCATTTAGAGTCTGAAATATATGGAGCTTAGGATGTAGGAAAGCAAGGGGCAAATGAGGATAAAGCAAGCTACAACCAGTTTTGTCCCCTCAGATTCCCTCATCCATACACTTCCCATCTTACAAAGTAAGGCTCTGCATTGTGAGACAACTAGGAAAATGGCATTTTCTCACCCTGAAGACAAGCTCTGGGCATATTGGAGTCAGATCTACTGACTTTAGGGACAAAATAAGTGTTTGCTGCTTTTACTCCTGCAAGTCCTGAGATCTATTCCTCCTTGTACAAAAAAAAAAGCATTCCAAATCCCAGTCCCACCTTTATAGGCCTTCTAAAGGCAATGGGTACAGAGATGGCTCGGAGGGCCCAACTGTTTATTCACTTCCCTTCTGCCTAGCTGACAGTTTAGACATTGTCAGCTGACAGTGTAGTTCCTCAACAACTTCATTCATACGCCAAAAAGATCTAGGAATGACAGCTCTGCCGGTAGCTCTATGATGACCATGGAAGTTAAGACCTTATTCTCCCACTCCCAAGAAATCAGTTTTTTAAAGCATGCAGCAGTGACTTTCAAGTTAATAAAAGGTGATAAGAGGATGCTTTGCCCCTCCAAATTCTGATAATCCCTGCCACATCTCCTCTTTAATAAAGTTATGATGGTCACCAAAAAAAAATTGGCTATGCTCAGATGATCATCATATAGGCCTCCCTCCACCTCCTATCCCCATCTCCTAACCACCAGAACAGCAAGATACCATCAAGACAAAGTGACATCAAAGCAGGTCGTCTTCTACAACAGCAGTAAAACTTTCTGGCTCCCTCAATACAAACACACAAGACTAAACTATCACTGTAGTCCTAGGGCCTCGTAATAAAAAGTGGAGGTGGATGGAGACTTGTTGCAGCTGCTGTGCCTTGAACAGCAGTTCTTCATAGTGGGGATAAGAAAAATGGCAGGAGGATAGAAAAAGTCATACATACCACAGCGCCAACTCCGTAGCTAGCGGCAGGGGCAAGGGCGTGGTAAGGGTCTGCTGTGTACACCCTGCCATAACTGAGGAAAGGGGAAAGAAAAAAAAAGTCACTTGTGATGGCTTTAGACTTCCTGTATGCTGAAAGGGAACAGGAAGACCACTGTGCCCACCCTTGTTCCCTAAACACACATGCGCACGCATGCACTGGCTTCCCCAGTGCCCCAAATACAATAAGCATGCTGGCATAGGGGGGTGACAAGATGGGATGAGAAAAAGGCCTGGAAAATAAAAAAAAAAAAAGAGTATAACAAAAGCCATCACATTTGATGCATCCTTTACCTCTAATGATACAATCTGGGAGAAAGGCAACTACTACTACTACCATTAAAGTAACTGCCCTCGTTACAGCTGCTAAATGGAAAAGAAGTGAGGGATTCTGAAGAATAAGACAGTGAGAGTGTAAGCTGTCAGCTCTTGCATGTGCCAGAATGAAAACGCAACCTCACTACACAGGGGGGAGAGAAGACCTTGGGGCAATTACCTGGGTGGTAATAACCCCCTGCAGTCTTCATTAAAGGGTCTCAAACTGCTTGACAAGTGGAATCACTCTCACGGTTTTACAGTTGGGGAAAACAAAGGCACTGAGTGATTAAACTCTTCCTCAAGGTCCAACATTTCTCAATTCCTGGCACCCGCTAGCCATAAAACCACTCTGCCTCCCTTGGCAGAGGATCAAAGGGCACCAATACAGACATTTCCCTTATGCCTGCATACACCTGACAGCTACACAGCCCAGGATTGGAGGAGGCAAACAGAATTGTGTACTTTAAACTGTTTCTTTCTTGAGGGGAGTGCAAATGAGACAGAAAGAGAAATGGGATAAAGGAGTATGGAAATGGAACAGCACTCCTTGAATCCTTGAATACATAAAGCTTGTCCTTGCCCCCTCCCCCTTACATACCCATCGCTGTAAGCTGCTGCAGCGGCTGCAGCGGCTGTGGCTGCTGTTGCAGTAGCAGGCTGTGCATATCTGTAGGCTGCATATCCACCCTGCAGGAGAGAAGAGAACTGACTTTACAGATACCTGTCCGCCCACACAGGGCAAAACATCACACACAGCACAAAGAGAGGGATGTTTCAAACTGCATCAGCTCCTATGTCATGTCCAACACAAGAGTCACCACTAAACCCATATATGCTCTGCCCTTCCCCAGAAGGCTTGGGCAGACTTGAATCATGGCATAAAGCCCCAGCACAGTGCACTGGGGAGCAGGCCAAATGAAATGTATGATTATCCTTGTGGGAGATTATATTTGGTATTGAGGATGGGAAAAATCAGGATAAACAGAAGTAAAACTTGAATGCTCTCCACTTCGCACGACACTTAAATTTCTTTTCCAGTGGTATCTATGCTAGAAATGAAGTCATCCAGAGGAACTCTTACTTTTCTCTACCTTGAGCATGGAAAGAAATGTAGATTTTACCTGGCCTAGATCCACAGAAATGCAACAAGTTAAAGAAACCAGAACTGAACAAGGCAACACCAAATGGTAGTCTCAGACCTGCCAACAATTAAATGTATGCAGAGACTGAACCACTTGGATGTGGCCCCTCAAAATGAAGGTGAGACATTGGAGAATGGGTGGGCGGCTGCTATGTTAGGGAAGCTTACATTGCTGCTCTTATGCTAAATTTGCTCTGGAGAATATATAGACACTTTTAAAATCTGCTGATATCCTACCAGTCCCAGATGGTTGTTCAGAAAGATACCTATGCCTCTCGAAGAACAAGCAAAAACCATTCTGAATCCTGAGCCAAAGGACTCGTGGGTCTCAGAGCAGGATTCCTGAATAGTGGCCAAACAGCAGCTCCTTCCACTCCTACTTTCTCTGAGCTGAGGGAGGCCTGGCTAGTCAGGCAAGGCTCTGTACACTTTAAATGGGACACCTGAAGTAACCTACAGCATGCAAGGATACTTCCTAAGGACAGAGGCCAATCTCAAGAGGCTACTGTGCCTAGAAGCCATGATAGCGAGCTCCCTGAGACGGGAATTTGATTTACTGTATGATTCTGTACATGATTTTTCTTAACTCTATGGGGGATAATATTG